TCCACCATCAAAACTCTATCCTACTTTTGAGGAACCTGAGAGACCAAGGACACCGTGCTGTACTCCCATTGCTGTGACCACTTTTGAACGAAAAGTCCCCAAGGAGGCTCACTTGTGCCATGGCAGGGTCAAGTTTCAGAGAAGCTCCTCTTGAGTTCCTTTGTTTTCCAGAGACTTCCTGAAACACATAGAATACATTTTTTTTAAATTAAAAAAAAAAAAAATTCGTTGGTTATGGAAATCTTCCATCTCACCGAAGCTGGGAACTCTCACTTGCCTGCCACCTGGTTTCAACAGCAATTCATTTTCTGCCATCCTTATTTCCTCCATGACAGACATTCCTGTGTGCCTGGAGTGTTTTAAAGGAAATTCCAGACATCAGACCTTATTCTTCCCAATGAATAACTCATATGGAGCACTGGCAGATAAGGATTAAAATGATACTTTATATTAAAAATCATTTTGATGTAATGAGAGAAGAGAGAATAGTTTTATTTTTTGTGGTACTGAACCCAGGGTGCTCTACCACTGAGTTGCATCCCCCAGCCTTTTTTATTTCTTATTTTGAGACAGGTCTCACTAAGTTGCTGAGGCTGGCCTCAAACTTAGGATCCTCCTGCCTCAGCCTCCTGAGTAGCTAGGGTTACAGGCATGCATCGCCAGCCCAGAGAGAGAAAGTTTAGTGATCTTGGTGTATCATGGTTAGCTCCAACAATGACCAACACCTAGACAAGTCTCTTTCCTTTATTCTCTCCCCTTCCCCCATTTTTGAAGCATTTTGGAAGCCAATATGACATCATTTCATTCATAAGATCTGCAAATATGTGCCTCTCAGGCATTTTCTTTTATTTTTAAAGCATAACTCCCAAAGTATTACGACTAAACAATTGAAGCAATAATTCCTTAATATCATCAACAATGTGCATGTCCCTGATTTAAAACAATCTTGGCTGTTAGAATCGCGATCCTAATAAAGTCCACATGTTGCATGTGGCTGAAAAGCCTCTCTCTCTCTTTTTAAATTTTGTATTTATTTGTTGAAATACTTCAGTTGCGTGTCCTTAGAATGGAGTGACACTCGACAAAAGTTTGAGCGCCTGTTCTGCGCCACGTGTTGCGCTCAGGCTACAGCCGCGGCCTGGTCTCTGGCTGGGGCAGATCCCTGGCTCTCTCAGACCCCCCTTCCGTAATGACGAGCACGGGGTGAGGGTACGTGGAGGCGCCACTCACCGCCTCGGGGGAGCCCCTCGGGTGACCAGGAGCCCCACTCGGGGCTTCTCAGCTGGGGAGCCTGGGCGGGCCGGGGCTGAGCGCCGCCGACTCCTGCCCTTCCCCAGCGGCCTCCGCCCCTGACCCGGCCTCCCGCGCAACCATTCCGGGTTACAGGCCGAGGCAGCGCAGGAGGCCAGAAGGGCCTCACCGTCCGAGGGCTGGCCGCCAGCGCGCAATGGCCAGTGGCAAACGCTAACGGCAGCCGCTCGTCCTCCGGGCGCGTGCCCGGCCCCCGCGCAACTACAACTCCCATAGTCCCCGGCGGCGAGCCGGTTACCACGGGGACGGGCGGGGCTCGTCGTTTCTGTGGTCGTTGGTGGCCTGCTGGTCGCCGAGAACAGACCCTTCCTTAACCCCGGGGTTTCAAAACGGACTGCCCCCGCCCCTCGCCACGCGGCCATTCTGCTGCCCGAGAAGACTGGGCTCGTGCGGAGGCCGAACTACATCTCCCAGAATGCTCCAGGCGCACGCCTCTCCGGTCGCGTGTGGTTGCCACGGAAACCAGTGCCGGGTCTTTGGAGCCCCTGAAGCCCCCGGAAGAGACGAGCAGGAGCCCGAGAAGCAGGCTAGAGGATGGAATGGGACGTCTGGCAGCGCCCCCTACCGTTCGCGTTTTGCTTCCGCAGACGCTCGGGGGAGGGATGCGCACAGTCTTAGGGGAAGGTCAAGCGACCCTGTCCCAACAACTATGGGAGGTGTAGTCATTGATTACCGGCCACCACCTGCGACAAGCCAGGCACGCCCAGGATAGGGGATGCAACCCGCCACCAGCCCTCTTAATCACTCACTGACTTCCTGCCTCCCTCTGACCCCCTTATGCAGGAGTATTCCGATAGCCCTACATGTCATTTACTACTGATAGCTTAAAGCCATTGCCACTGTTTTTTGTTTTTTTTTCAACAGCTGCACCCAAAAGGGTGATAAATTCCAAATGCAGTTGGATTTGCAAGTTATAATCTTGAGAAGCACTTGAAATAGGTTTGTATGCACCAGCATTCAGGGCTGGGGATGTGGCTTGCCTCACACGTGTGAGGCCTTGGGTTTGATACTCAGTTCCACAGACAACTCATTGTTCTGTTTTCATTAATGAAATACAAAGTCATTTTTGGAGGAATGAAGGATAAATTACTCATTTATATATCTTATGTGTTATAACATGACACGAATCATTTGCTTATGTGATAAACACTACTACATTTAAGATCAGAATTGTTTTGAATATTTAAAGTCACTTTAAACATGGTCAGGATTGATAATAGCATTGCTGGTAAGGCCATTCCATAGATGTCATTTTACTAAAGAGATCTTGATCTTGCCTGGTTTTGCAAGATATGACAATGAAGGCTAGCTGAATGCCAAAACTTGGAAGATAAATTGTTGCCCACACCAGCTCTGCCACTATGTTTTTTTCTCCTCCATGCCAAGGCAGATGGTCAGATTAAGGTGAATTAGAGAAAAATAAATTTTCTGAGATTAAATGGGAGGTACTCATGGTGGGATGAATCCATATTCTCTGGCAGGTGTGGTCCAATTTTAGGGCCCTCTTGATAGAAGATTCAAGATATACTCTGTGCTGTTAGTAATGGGAAGTAGCTCAGTGACCTTGGACAAGTATATTAAGGTCAGTTACACTCTACCTGTCTATAATATTCTCCATCATAGCATTGTTGTGAGGATGAGCAGAGCTGCTGCATATCAGCTGGTAAGCACAGTGCCAAGAACATTTCAAATTACAAGTAAATCTTACTCCACACAACAGTGTTTTTCTTCAAAGTAAAATGCAACAGGAGGGCAGTAATTGACAGCAGAGGTATCACAAGGAACCACAAATTGGCTCTTAGCTTCAATGGAACTCAAGCTGTAGCAGGTGTTATTTCACAATTTTAATTAAAATCAGTTATCAGAGGTGACATGTAAATTTTCATAATTTTAACTATAAGCAGTTAAATTTCTGTGCTTTTTTCACCAATTTACCTAAAGCAAGCCATTTTCATTTGTAAAACTCTAAAAATCAATAAATACAAGATGCAATGACTGAAAAAAAAAAGAAATAGGTTTGTATGTGTAGAAACCAAGTTCCTAATTTTCTATGATAAAATTAGCATGATTAACATTTAATTCCTCTGAACAGAAAACGTCATAACATGATATAGTTCATGCACACCTAGATGTCTCCTGGGCTTTTGAAGTCACACAGAAGAAAAAGGGTTGTTCTTTATGAATAAAATACTTATCACAAAACTGCAGTGAGACTATACTTGTTACTTTTAATTCACACAACACCTTCAATGATCTACAATTAGGTCTGAGCCAAAGAGTAAATCTGCATTGAGGATTTAGAGACCAGAGGCATATTCTTATAGCTTATCTAATGAACAAGTAGAGGGCAGAAAGATAAATGAGGTGCTGCTTGCTTCAAAGCATCCAGGACTTTCCTTTTGAAGTAGGACAGTTGGCAGACATGACATTCCCACTGGCTTAAAACTTTGGTAGGAAGAACAGCCCATATCATAAGTGTAGAGAATTATTTAACTGATAACGTTTAGAATTCATGTCAAAGCTATGTAATTTATTCCTAACATTCAAAACAGAGTTTCCTCCCTCCTCCTTAATCATATTTTTAAAGAATGGAATAATTCATTTCTTGCCTAAGGAAAGAGCACATCTCATGAAAAAATACCAACCAAGGCCAGGATATTCATGTAATTCTCAACAATTAGGTGTGGAAGGCCAAAGTCAAGACCTACAACCATATTCCAGAGTAATTTTCTCAAATGGCACAGTACCCAGTTACCTTTTTAATCAGGAGTACTGATGTTTAAATGAACTCCTGGCCTCAGTTAGCAGCAAAACTATTCTTATGGCAATTTAGTGTACCTTGCAGATATCAGAGTCTCCCAGTGTCCCACACTGAGTTTAATGATCTCCAAGGACTTTGCTTGAACAACTTTATGATGTGGATATTCGGGTTACAATGTAAGCATAATCTTTACAATGGCTAAAGCTTCAGAACACAACTGGTCATTGGATTGGTCGGAGGACATGTGCTAGTTCTACCTGCAAGATACTTGCAAACCACCATCAGGCTGGCTCCACTTCAAATATGGTTAATATCTCCCTTAACCATCCTTCTGTTATTGCAGTATGTGTTAGTCAGCTGCTCATTGCTGTAACAAAATATTTGAGATCATCAATTCATGGTGTTAAATCATCAATCCTATGGTCAGTTGGCCACATTGCTTTTGGGCCTGTGGCCAGGTAAGATATCATGGAAGGAGTGGGAGGTGGAGCAAATCTGTTTACCTCTCGGAGGCAGAGAAGTGAAAAAGAGAAAGAGACTGGGATCCTATAATCCCCTTCCAGGGTGCACTCCAGCGACCTAAAACCTCTACTAGGACTACCTGTATATGGTCCCATCACCTTCCAATGGCACCAAGATGAGGAATGTTCCCCTTTGGGAATATTTTAGATCCAAACTATAGCACTGTGGTTGATGTTGCTTTACGAGTTTTAATCCCAGAGGATGACACTCTCAGCATATTCACTGGTGGGATCAACTTTCCAGTTACTATAAGTCAGTGGAAAGAGCAGAGGCCTGGGGTCCAGGCCTGCCTCTGTCCCTGACTTTTTTTTTTTTTATTGGTTGTTCAAAACATTACAAAACTCTTGACATATCATATTTCATACATTAGATTCAAGTGGGTTATGAACTCCCATTTTTACCCCAAATACAGATTGCAGAATCACATCGGTTACACATCCACATTTCTCTGTCCCTGACTTGCTGGGTCATCTTGGACTAATCATTTGTCATTTTCAGAATAGGCTGAATAATACCCCTGAAGATATCAGGTCTTAATCCTTGAAATGTTTCTTTGTTTGGAAAAAGGATCTTTGCAGATGTGATTAGGTCAGGGATCATGAGATGAGATTATCCTGGATCATGTGGGTGGCCCCTAAATGCAATGATAAATGTCCTCATGAGGCCAACTTGAAAGATGCACAGAGAAGGCAAAGTGGAGGCGGAGTGTGAAGAGGTTTGAAGGTGCTGGCCTTGAAACCAGAACTAAGTAGCCACAAACCAAAGAATGACAGCAGACACCAGAAGCTGCAAGACACAGATCTCCCCTAAGAATCGAGAGGGAGTGTGGTCTCAGTGGCACCTTGATTTGGATTCAGTGATACTGATTTTGGACTTCTGGCTTCCAGAAGCATGACAGGAGCCTTGACATTGCAGGAGATGGAGACAGTTGATTCTTGTGATTCATGTAGTTTGTTCTAGGAAGTCGCCAAGCATGCTGATCCAGTGAATCCTGAACACTGCTCTCAGGGGAAGCACAGGATCAGGTCCCTGCAAACCTCTGCCGCAATAGTTTCAGCAGTTGATTGATATGTAATCTGATTTATGTGTGTTTTAAAGATACTTTATTTAACATATTGTTGGTTCGTTAACATTGAATTCAACAGCACTGTAACTCATGCTAAAGGGACTGTCTAACCCACGTGTTCTCTCCCTGAGAAACGCCACAGCTTTCCTGAATCTAGGAACACTAGATGACACTTTAGCACTAAGCTTGGGGCCATTTCAAAAGTGAAATCACCAACAAAAAGCTCGAAAATTGTGAGAACATGGCCCTACATCGACCACGAAAAGGACACATTACGAGAGCCAAGAGAAGAGAGCAGCAGTGTCCCTTGAACCCTGGAGTAACCTCAGCTGGGAACAGTCGTGTGCTGCAGCGATTCAAATTTTAGGCCACATTATGTGTGTCCCAAACAATGGAGAGAGCATCACAAGTTTTGATTTAGGGGTTGCAAATAAATTTTAATGAACAGGGGAATTCTGGAATACAGAACCCACGATCAAAGACAACCACACCCCTGTTTGACATCGTAAGTAACCCAGGTCCTCTCATTAGCTATGGGGTGGGAGCCTGTGAAATTAATACCCACTACAGAAAATAAAGAGTCTGCCTTTTTTTCCCTTCCTATCTAAAATGTAGTACTTATGTTTTTGATCTACGTGTTTAGAAAAATCGAATTTAACCTCCACAAGGGCAAGGAATTTTGTGCTCTATCATGCTGTACTTCAGCAGCAGCCAGAATAGCACCTCACACATAGTAGATGCTCAGCTAGTTGGAATCTGTTGAGTGAATCAAGGAATAAAAATCACAATTGAACTGAGACACATGGACGAAACTGTGACAGTTACAATTCCACAGTTTTTATAACTTTACATATGTGAAGTTTCCCAGTTTAATTTTCCAGCTCTTTGGAAAGGTCTGGGGCTAGGGAAGCAGAATTCAGACATAGAATTTTCCCCACTGACCTAAGGATGGAGGATGGATGTTCTGAGTCAATTCTGGCTGAATGGTACCTTGTAGCAGACGAGGAAAATTTCTTCTCTAGTCACAAGGAGAAGAGAGTATCAGTAGCTGGATAAAGTTTGAGTTCTGGACGAGGAAGCAGCTGATGTCATTTGGGAGATGGAGGTCCCAGGCGAGGCGGCTAGGTAATAATCAACATCTCCTCCCTGTCTCTGCTCTCAGACACTGAGTTGACGACGCTTTTTAAATACTTTGTGAATTCCATTCGGATCTCCTCAGGGTCCTCCTCAAGATTGGAGTGCACCAGCTTCAGCTTGCTCAAGGGTGGCGCTGAGAAAGGAGAATAAGATGAATGAGTGGACTTGGAATCTTTTCTAGCTCCCAAGGGACCTGAGACTTGCTTAACTTTCTAAAAGTGCTGAATACTTCCTGAGTTGTTTTCCGGGATCACTTTGTCACCTCTGCTGTGTACGTGTCACAGGTGAGTTGGAGGTTTTTCTTGGGAAAAGGCCTCTCAAGAAAGACTGTCCCCAGTGGGACCAATAAATGGCCCACACCAGGTTTCTCCCCATCTTTTCATCTACCTGCTGTGAAAGTGCCCATCCCTTGTCTCGATGGAAGGATGGACCTTCCATCCTGGCAGTTCCGATGGACATGGTGAAATCGACAAAGGCCTAGGCGTGGCCAGTGTGCAGTAAGCGCACATAGCTGCTGGTTCAAAGACACTGCCTCAAGCAGGTGCGTGGGACATCTGCGGCAAAAGGCGGAGGTGAAACCCCAGCCTTCTTACACAAAGACGGGCTCCCCGTGTCTCCTCCCGAGCCTGGTTTGTGATGTGCAATCAGCAGGCACTGGGTATCCTGTAGGAGCTGTTGGTGGACGAAGCAGGAGTACCACATCTCGATCTCCTTCAGGTGGCTTGGCATGTCAGCGTTGAAGACAATCACCACCCCGTGGGCGTCCTTCATCAGGGCCGGCCAGCAGGACTCGAACCTGCAACACAGAAAGGGAGTCGGAGCAGGAGTCGGGGCATCCTGGACTCTAGCTGGGCACTTTGTTTTAATTTTTATTTTGTGCAACCAGTTCTTGCATAGGTCAGGCAAGTTTTCCATCACTGAGCTACCTCTCCAGCCCTCATGATCACTTTAAAAATAATAGCTCAGTATTAACAATTGATCGGTGACTTCTAATTATATCATAACTCAATTGCTAAAGCATATAAAGCAATGTATGTGACCAAAGAACTCATCAAGCCCTCATGCATCCTGGGAACCAGGCAAGGCCTGACTTCATGGAACCTGGTGGGCACTGTGTGTGTGTATTTTAGCTGGGGATGGAACCCACGGCCTCGTGCATGCTAGGCAAGCCCTCTGCCACTTGTCCCAGCCTGGACGAAGTAGACCTTCTTTAAAGGAAACACAATGGGGCTGGGATTGTGTCAGTGGTAGAGCGTTCGCCTAGCATGGGTGGGACCTAGGTTCGATCCTCAGCACCACATAAAAATTAAGGCATTGTGTTGTGTCCATCTACGCCTAAAAAAAAAACATTAAAAAAAAAAGGAAACATACTTAGAATCACCGCCACAGTCCCAGAGCTCGAACTCACACCTCGCGCTTTTGTTGTTGCTGGTAACATGTGGGTTCTCAAATTCTAGGATCCTAAACATAAAAACAGTAGCAACAATACCACTATTTAGGAGGCATTACCCTTCTGGAAGGGCCAACAGCACGCAAAGTCACAGATGGGTGACGGTTGGTGACTTTTTGGGGTGCAGATAGGGCAGAGCTCACCTTACTCCCTGTGTGGGGTTGTATTCAGTGATGTCAGAAGATTCCGTCAGAAAGTTGGCCAAAACGGTTTTTCCACTCTGTGAAAATGACAGAAGAGTAGAAACAGCCCTGAGGTCACCAGGATAGAGAGCCCTCTGCTGTTTTGCTCTGGTGTGCTGGGCATGGCCTGGATGGGAATATGGAGAGCACGGGAGGCCAGTGCTCCCTCTGCTGCTGGGGACTCCACCCTCACTTGAGTTTCCTGGCTGACTCTCAGTTACCTTATCTGACAACAGAAAAAAATCACCAGTGTGTGTCTCTCTCCACGCCTGCTCCTCTCCACATTTTTAGGGAATCAGTCTGTTACAGACACAAGGCTCAAGGTCACAAAGAAGATCAAGGTCAAAGCTAAGTCCCAGGTCTGGGGATTCCTGGCTGATTGCACCACAATCTCAAAGCAAGCTGTTTTGGGCTGGGGCTGTACCTCAGTGGTAGAGCGCCTAACTTGCATGTGTAGAGGCCCTGGGTTCAATCCTCAGCACCACATAAAAATAAATAAAGATACTGTGTGTTTATCTACAACTAATAAAAATATTTTTAAAAAATCTGTAACTCAAAGCAAGCTATTTTTCCTTAGAACATAAGTAATTGATATTCCTATAAAAATAAAATCAAACCATCAAGAAAACAGCCTTAGCTGGGCCCAGTGGCACATGTCTATAATCCTAGCGACTCGAGGCTGAGACAGGACGAGAGTTCAAAGCCAGCCACAGCAAGGGCGAGGTGCTAAGCAACTCAGTGAGACCCTGTCACTAAATAAAATACAAAAAAGGGTTAGGGATGTAGCTCGGTGGTGAGTGCCTCTGAGTTCAATCCCCAGTACTAAAAAAAAAAAAAGCTGTTTCAGGAAAAAAGACATATAATCCAAGGAAAAAAAAAGAAAACAGCCTTCTGATCCCTCTACCTAAACCATCCCTATGTTCAACCCATTCCCTCCTTAAAATTATGATCTGTTTTTCAGATCTTTTCTCTATATTTGCATAATTCATTGAACAAATACTACATATGTGTAAATATAAAATGATTTTTTCTCCCCCCAAATTATTCTTCAGAAGAAAGGCAATTTCTTACACTTGAGTTCTTATTTAAAAACCTCTCCAATTATGCCCCGCTCTCAGTTACTTTATGTCGAACAACTGCTTGGCTAGAATGACCTGGATCAGAACTAGTTTGCGAGGCCTGGAGAAATCACTTGGTAGAATCAAAAACCTGAGAGTTGGGGGGAGGGCACACTGTCTTTAGAATGCAGCCTCACAAATTAAATGCCAGATAAAATAACAAGGTAAGTGGCTTCCTTGTGGAGATCATGTTTATTTTTAGGATGAATAAATATAGTAAATGGTCTGAGGTTATAGGAATGAGTCCTGGGGCCTGAATACATTTCCAGGAAGAGTTTCATAATATTGATTTTTGTTTTTAAATGCTGCGTCCTAAACAACTTAGATGAACAGAAAAATATGCGTTGGCAATCACGTTAAATTATGTAAAACAAGTGGCTCAAGTCATGAAGACAAGCCAGGTGTCAAAGGCTCAGATTAGAAGCTTGAATAAAACTGTCATTCAGTGAATGGAATCATATAAAATTTTCAAATTAATATATATCCTCATGGGCCTTTACAGGTATATCATACATACACATGACTATATGAATACATTAAACATGGGAGAAGTATATGAGAATGTTTCATCTATGTCCTTAAAGTTTATATATACAAGTTGACCAAAGCCAATTTGAGCAGGGATGGGTTCTCATGAGAAAATGAAGAAACTGCCTGTTGGGCATATGAAGTATTTTTTATCCTATCCTAACACTACCTATTAGCAATCTTAAACTCTCCTCGTTCGTAAATTTTGTTGGGTAAACAAGTCCCATCTGTTTGTTTTCATGTGTTACTGTGATTATGAGGTTGAACATCTTCTCATACTTACCTGGCAATTTTATTTCCCAATTTTATTTGTGTGCAGCACTTTGGCTTGATTTCCTATTTAACTATTTCTCTTTTCTTTACTGATTTTTAAACTTTCCTTGCATGTCCTATTAATGTAAGTTGTAAATACTCACCCCAGGTGTTAACTTAGCTATCATTTCTTTTAAGCCTTTTTCATTTGGGGGGCTTTGCTTAAGGCCTTTCCTAACTGCAGATTGAACACATCTCTTTCCATATATTCACCTATGCATCGACAGTGCTTATCCCTATGTGTGCCCTGGACCAACAGCACCACCAAAATCCAAATTCCTGGTCCCTCCTGGACTTAATCAAAACCCTGGGGCTGGACCTGAAAGATGTGATCTGGTGGGAGGGTCACAAGACCCAGGCCATGGTTTCAAAGATGCCACTCACTACCGTGGGCCTTCGGGCCTCGGCAACTCAGGGTTCCCCTCCATCGCCGCCCTCGGGCGGTGGTGAGGATCAAGGTCTGGAGGCGCCCAGTTCCTGTGAGGGGCCCGTCGGGGTGGGGGCTTTGGAACCGGGTTGCCACCTCCTGGGGGGCTGCCTGAGCAAGGCACAGACCCGGGGGCGGCCCCGCGCTCACCCGGGCCCCGCTCGCCGCCGCCCCGGCTGGCCTCACCTCACAGGGCCCCACGAAGAGGATCTTGGCCTTCAGCATCGCGGTCCGCCCGGCAGCCCCCAGCGCGCGGTAAGATCGCAGCCGAGCGAGCTTGCAAGCCGCCGCGCTGATTGGCTGCCTTCGTTTCCATGACGACCGGGAGCGGCCCGCAGGGGCCGACGGGACACGGCCAGTTCCGGACGCGCAGAGCGCAGGAGCCAAGGGGCGAAATCCCGGCCGCGGGAGCGGTTCTGCGCCCGCGGCCCAGAGCTCGCCAGTCCCGCTTGTCGTGGCAAAGATGCGGAAAGTGGAATCGCGGGGCCCTTAACTCCTCCCAGTCATCGTGCGCGGTCAAACAGACCCCGAGGCCGATGAGCTGGGCTGGAACCAGGTCTCTGACCCCCTCATCACTCTGGCTGGTGCTGCCCACGTTGGGAGGGGGTTTACACATCCCTGGGCCAGCCCAGGAGGTCAGGAAACGCGACTCTGAGCTCAGTAAAGGGCGACACCGATCACCATTATTCCAATGATCTGGGAGAAACCAGAAGAGGAATGCACTGGCCATTAGGGCAGGGGCCTGGGAATGTTGCTGCTGAATTCAGTCCTTAGGTCCGTCTTAAATCACGGTGCCGGGCCATTTTAGTTTCATAGATAATGTACTTGCTTTTTTTTTTTTTTTTTTTTCATAAATAGTGATCATTCACTTCCGCTTCGTGGGGTGCAATCTCTTGTTTTACTGTTTCGCTTGGCTCAACCTGCCTGACCCTTGACATCGCTTCCTTCCTTCTGTACTACTTGAAGTTTTCATTCCAGTGAAGAGATAGACAACAAGAGAACTTCTGTAGGAGTGCGTGATAATCTACGGCGCATCCTTCAGTATTTTTCTCCGTACATCTTAGACATCCCCGTTCTACGCAGATCTATATCTCTGACGATCTGGGAGAGCTTGCTAAAACACGACTATTCCAATTTTTGGCCAAGTTTTTAAAGGATGACAGTAGGCATTCGGTATTTTAGATTTTAATCCTTCTCTGTAGAATTTAGCACATGACCTGGAAATTATTGAAAACTTACACGATTGAAGAAGAGAGAGAGAATTGCTTTGGAGGGAATGCTGTTTGCTCAGGTCAGGTCAAGTGGAGGTGGGAGAACCGGTGTTCTCTGGAGTTTGGGCAGCATGATGATAGGTGAGAGAAGCTGTAGAGAGATTTAGTCCAAGGGGAGAGAGAGAGGAAAGAAAGAGAATGTATTGGGAATAGCCAAGGGAACAAGAGGTTTTCCTAGGAACCTGAATAGGAAGGAGTTGGCTGTGAGTATTTTAGATCTTGCCTATGAGAAGCCCCCCTGGAGAGGTGGATTCCCCAAAGAAGGCGACTGCTGTTGCTTGGCCTAGAGGTGAGGCTACGGTCTGCGGCAGCTGCAGCCAGAAACATGGTCATGCATCTCCCAGGAACCCCCGTAAGCTTCCCAATGAGATAAAAATCAGCATCAGAGATCTCCTACTTCCAGAGAGCACCCCCACTGGGTTATATCTGCACCTATTAAATAAAAATCGTTACTTTACAATCATGTGATCATATCATGTATTATTCTGTCTTGGTTTTCTTTAACAACACATTGTAGAAACTGCTCCAAGTCATTTGTCATAGTTCTGCTACATTATTTTAAGGTCCTGTACTATTTTATAGTCTGATATACCATAGTTTATTCAGATTTTTTTTAGTGTTGTGTACTTAATATGTTTCTAGTTTAAGGTCATTTGAAACAAGACTGCAATAATGTATGTCTATTTTTAGGTGCTTTTACTTCTGTGGAATCTATGGGACAGAAAGGATTGCTGGGTCAAAGGATATGTGTATTTTAAATTATACATACATCTATATATCTATATATATATTATATTGCTAGATTACTTTGACATTTGGCAGTTTTAACTGCCTTTGTCAATAATTTATATTTTATGACAGTTGGATCTTGATAAACAGCTTCTGCAGAGTAAAGAGGAGTCTTTGTTGGAGGAGGTTGCAAAGAGAGGGAGGGGAAGAGTTATGTTGCAAAACTGGGGCTTGTAGTGATTATGTTATTATCCTTTATCTCTTTCAACATAGTAAGTATATTTAGTTTAAAGTTTACATCTGATAATTCAAAAATCTGGAGTCCTTCTTGGACTGTTTTTATTATCTGATGTGCATGTTTTTCCCCCTTGGTTACTTTACATTTCACAAGTAATAATCACTCCAAATAATCAATAATCAAGTAATAATCACTCCAAACCTCAGTGGCTTAAAACGTCAAACATTTATTATCTCATGATTCCTGTGGATCAGAAATGTGAGCAGGTCTTGCCTCCTGTTCAGGTTTCTCAGGCTGCTGTCGAGGTGTTGGCTGTAGCCGTCTCAAAGCTTGACTAGGAGGATGGACTCGCAGGTCCCCTTCTTTGGGTTTCAGCAGGATGCTTTCCGTGTTCTGTTGGCCTGAGGGCCTCAGTTCCTTGTTGGCTGTTGGCCAGAGACCTCCTCACTTCCTGGCTGGGTGGCTTCTCCATTGGACAGTTTGCAGTATGGCAGCAAGCACGTGACAAAGTGAGACAGCACGGGCCAGATGGAAGCCACGGTGTCCTTGTAACCTAATGTTAGAAGTGACATTCCACCACTTTAGCTACATCCTGTCACCAGGTCCACTCCTACTCAGGTCCGGGGGGGATTGCCAGGGTGTAGGTGTCATTGGAATCATCTGAGAGGCTGCCTAAGACCAGAAGGGATTGTGAGATGCTCATTGTAAAATAGCATCCATGGAACAACAGCTTTTTCATGAAGAAAACAAGAACATGGCTACAGGTCAGTGCAGCTCTTGATTACAACGAGGAGTTTGTGATTCCTGTAAAGATTGCCTAAGTAATTTGGACAAACCATTTTACTATGGGCAGAGCAGGGGCTGTGGCTCGGATTCAAATCTTCACAATTTTTGCATTTATTTGAAGATGATCCAAGATTCCTAGGTGTGAGAAACATGGATTCTTTCTGGAAAAAGAGACATCATACTTGGTCATCAATTATTTATATGATTTTTGAACTTACTGTGTCTGGTATACAATATAAAAAATCAAATATGTAAAAGATAAAAAACCTAGGAAACAAATACATAAATTAATAGAAGCAGGCCAAGAGGGACTCCAGATTTTTGATTATCAGATCCAGACTTTAAAACTAGCCAGTCACAGTGGGGCATGCCTGTAATCCCAGCGACTCTGGAGGCTGAGACAGGAGGGTCCCAAGTTCAAAGCCAGCCTCAGCAACTTAATGAGGCCCTAAGCAACTTCGCGAGAGTGTCGCAAGCTATCCATAAGCTTTGTGTGTAAGCTATGCGCGTTGGAGCTATATGAGCTTACAGGTCTGGCATTGCACGCTGACTGAGCTGTGCCATGCAAGTGCCCCTCTCCTCTCCTTTCCATGATCCCACACAGCACCTGAGGTGGGTGTGACTTGCCAAGATGTCAATCAGTCTTCTGACCACAGACATCAGGAAGCAAGACTCCATCTTGAAACCTTGTCCCCTGCCTGAGGACTCCAGATTTTTGAGTTATCAGACATAGACTTTAAACTGAATATACTTTCTATGTTGAAAGAGATAAAAGATAATAATATAATCTCCCCAAGCCCCAGTTTTACAGCGTAACTCTTCCCCTTCTGCTCTTTGCAACCTCCTCCAGTCAAGATTTGACTCCTCTTCACTCTGTAGAAGCTGTTTGTCAAGAACCAAATATCATGAAATATAAGTTATTGACAAAGTCTGTTAAAACTGCCACATGTTATATTCTACCAAAAATCTTTTGTCTTTTTTTTCCCTATAAATAAAGGGATTCCGAGTGCACTCGCTTTCTTGACTTCCAGCGTGGAAGAGGAACCCTGAGGTCACAGAGCAGTCACGCCCTCAGTAAGAAAGTTACTTCTATGTCCTGGGCTTTTTCCTTCCTTGATGTTGCAGGCAGCTCTTGTGAACCCAGTTCATCTCGTCAGCGTGGGTCCATAGTGAGATAAGAGCCTTTCTCAAAATGAAAACAGGCACCACTGAGCCACATCCCCAGTCCTTTTTATTTTATTTTAAAATTCTGAGACAGGAATTTTAAGTTGCTTAGGGCCTCACTAAATAGCTGAGGCTGGCTTTGAACTTGCGATCCTCCTGCCTCAGCCTCCCAAGCCTCTGGGATCAAAGGCATGTGCCACCACTGTGCCTGGCTCTTGATGTGGCTTCTTGATGTAATCAGAGAAATGCAGCAGCAGGAGATGTAGGAAGCTGCTGCTGGTGGAACACAGCACGCTGTTTTACAGTAACTGGATTTTTTTTTTTTTTGAGTAGAAAGCGCACACTCTAAAATAACAATAAAAAGTATAGAAGAGTAAAAATACAAAACCCAGTAATCTGGTTGGACGTGCTTTATAAATACGTGACTGGTAGGACAGGAGGCTCCTTCACATTTCCATCACCACAAAACAGGCAAGTAACTATGTGCTCCAACGTCACTGGGCGATAGGGATTCCTGACTCTGTGGGACCACCAGCTTATATGAGGTCACTGTGGACAAAGAGGGTGTTGTGCAACACGTGACTCTACACACACACAGAGGGTGTTGTGCAGCACGTGACTCTACACACACACACACGCACACACACACGCACACGCACACACACACACTGTGGCCATGGGTTCCCATTTTGTACTCGGGGCTATAATCCAGGTAACCACCACCGTTTCTGTTGATGCCCCATCTGTCCTTGACGAGGCCTTCCAGAGCCCCTTTAATCTGGTTTCTTGCATCCTTCTGAATTTCTGTCCTTTGGTGAGCGCCTCCTTACTTTTTGGCACCCTTTCCATGTTCCCAGGTGGTCCTTTCATTAGTCTTGCCTCATAGCTACCATACACCACCCACCTCCTTTTGTTTGTATTAACAAATCAAACGTCTCAAAAGAGTTACTGCTTTTCACACCTGGAAAAACTGGGGCGGGGGAAGGGGCATTGGCAGCCCCTCCCTCTTTTGGCATGAACCGGTGCCTTTAGGTCTCTGGTCTGGGCTTGGTGTTGGGCACCTGGG